ATACTAGTTCAGATATTATAGTAATTGCACGGGATATGAACGCACAAGTAGCGCGTCTGAGCTCTTCTGAAGCTCAGCAGGATAATAAATATCGGTTTAACTCCAAACGGAAGGACAACGGCGAGTGTCTTTTGCAACAGTGTGCGGAGCACCAGTTGTTTCTTAGTAGCACTGCTTTTAGACACAGTGGACGCCGAAGTGACACTTGGCATCCTCCTGTCGCTGGCCAGTGATAGACCCACATTCATCACATAGCCGTAACCTACAGGTGGCGTGGTTCCATCTTCGATTGCCACTCGTACTAGAGTACTTGTGTCGACTCTAATCATGCCTTGGTACGCTGTCGTTTCTCCATGAACTTTACCGGAAGGCGTACCAAGCGTCGCCTCTGATTGGCAACTGAGAAATCGCCTCAGCAATCATACAGGTAAACCTATCAAGACGCACTGCATATCGAACTTTTGCTGTCTTGTTCTAATGACACTGAACTTCAGTGGAATAGGATCTCAGCCGCCATGCACGACGCAAGAACATCTACCTGTAGCACTATCGATTGCCATCGTAACAATCGCTAAATATCCGAGACGTCGGTGAACCTGATGGAATGCAGAAGAAACCACCCGGCTGGCTCTGAGCACAATGTGACCAGGCGGGCTAGTAGGCACGAACTAAAGCGGAGCCCACGTGCTGAGAAGGAAACCTGGTGGACCAGCAGAGTTCAAGAAATGGAGGAGGCAGGAGCAGTAGGCAAGTACCGCAAGCTCTTTCAGCTGATCTGCACCACTGCACCTAGAAAACCAGGCGTCAGTGACACAACCAGAGACAGTGCGGGTGACTGATGCGCAATAAGGAGCGCCGCATAGCTCGTTGGGCGGAGCAATTTCAAGAGCAGTTCAGCTGGCCCCCTGCTCCTGGACCGCTTTCTACTCAGGTGACGCAGGAAGTGCCATGGACGGTCAGGTTAAAGCCTCCGTCAGAGGCCGAGGTCCGAAACGCCATCACAGCCCCCAATCGTTTTCGTGCCGCTGGCCCGGATTCCCTCTTACCTGCACCATTTAAGGATGGAGGTGAAGTCCTCTACAAAACATTGACCTCCCCGTTCAAACACATTTGGAAGGAAGTGTCCCGGCTAATCGGAGCGAATCGATTGTAGCGGCAATATACAAGAGGGGTAGTCACATAGACTTTTCGAACCACAGGGGTATTAGCCCAACGCCAGTTGTCACAAAATTACTGGCCTCGATTCTCGTTCGTCGCATCACTGTGGAACGGTAATTTCGGAGTAGGGAAGAGCAGGTAGGTTTCCGCCCAGGACGTCGCTGTATCTTCACGCTGCGGCAGACGCCAGAACAGCCCTATGCATAACGCAGACCGACAGTAGCTGTATTTCTCGATTTCAAGAGTGCGTTCCATACAGCCGATGGATGCATTCTGTTCGAAATACTATCGCGGAAACGTGTAACCACGAAATATGTGGACATCCTACGTGCTCTTTACTCAAACATCACAGCTCGCGTCAGGGTCTATGGTGACCTATCGGATAGCTATCCGACAACAAGGGGCGTTCGCCAGGGTTGTCCAATTTCCCCATTTTTGTTCAATTTCGTCATGGATCCTATCATTGAGTGTTTCCTTGCGGAATCTCTAGATGTAGGCGTTGAGGTCTTGCATGATGAAAGGTTAGTTGATCTTGATTATGTGAATGATATCGCCTTGTTTTTTAACGATGTTGGGGCGGCACAGTCACTCCTGAATAGCCTTTCTAGAGTGGTCCCATTATATGGCATGCGCTTCGCACCTTCAAAGTTCAAACTGTTGCTGCAGGACTGCCAGCCACTTTATGACACCTTGACCCTTGCTAACGAGGAACTCGAGGTGGTTGATCGATTCACTTACCTTAGCAGCTGCATCAGCAATGATGGGCGCATAGAAACTGACGTGAGTTCACGCATTGCAAAGGTCAGATCTGTTTTCTTGAACCTGCGGCATCTTGGGCGACAGAACGGAGTTTCCCTCCGTCTGAAAGGCCGTGTATACAAGGCCACAGAGAGCCGTTCTGCTCTAGGAAAGTGAGACTTGGCCCCTTCGGTCTGAGGATCTGAGGCGCCGTCAAGTCTTTGGCCATTGTTGTCTGTGAAGCATTACTGGTGTCGGATGACACCAGCGTGTCCGCAACGATGATGTGCGTAGGCGAGTACTAGGGAGCGACAATCATGCTACCTCCCTAGAACAACAGATAGCACTGAATAAGTTGCGTTGGCTCATGCACATACTATGTATGCCTGGTCACCGCTTAACTAGGAAAGCCTTGTTTAGTCTGCCAGGTGTAGGGTGGCGCAAGGCTCGAGGTGGACAAAAATTGACTTAGGAGCGGGAAATGAAGTCACTGACGACGAAACTGGGAACCGTTGGTCCGTCTCGCCTTCGGGGCTGGAGTCCACGTGACTCGCCTTGTGCTTGGCTCGAGACTTTACAGGACATAGCTCGCAAGCGACACCAGTGGCGCGTCTGCTGCCGTCTCCTAATCGGATAGTCTGTTTAAATTGTGTTCGGTGCTGAGTTATTTGTAGGGTAATGGCTGACTATGACGCGTGGCAATGAAAGCCGCAAAAAAGCTGTCTCGCCGATGCCAGCTTATTTTGGCACGATAGTCAGGTGTTGGTGACGGTATGTTGTCTACACAAGGTGTAGGCGCCTTGACCCTGAATGTTTGCTTAGGACATTAAGGTTTTCAGGTGTCCCCTTTCTCTCCCTCATAATATTCTTTATTGCATAGGTCATCATGGTTGTATGGCAGCGATGCATAAGTTCAAATAGCTGATGTATTGCTGCTGTTATTGTCAGTAAGCGTGTCTTGGGTGGAGGCAGCCCCTAATACGAGGCGCTTGTCTCGCTGCGCCAACTACGATGGCTTAGAAACGTACTGCGTAAGCTCGCTCAGCGTCTTCTGCTTCGTACCTTGTTCGCGGTTAGTGGACAGGGCTGGAGGAGGCGGTGTGGTGGACAGCCTACAACTTGGAAAAGCAGGATGAAAAAGCTGACAAAACAGTTGGCCTCGGTTCGCTTTCCTCGACTCTCTGGATGGGGTCCCAACGATGCTGAGTGCCGCTGGTTGAAAATCTTGGGAGTTATAGCTCAAAACCGAACTCAGTGGTGGTGGTGTATCTCTGCTTGTAGCGGTGATTCCCCTTCCCTCCACCAATAAAAAACAAACATCCAAAAAACTCAAACTACGAGTGTGAAAATGGAGAAAAAAGGTTGCCGCCAACCAGTATATATATATATATATATATACATATATATATATATATATATATATATATATATATATATTACGTGCCCCATGCTGAGGCTGATGTTGCATTCTTGATGCTTCTTCACCGCAGTTGGGCTAAACCAAGTTACACTTAAACTAGGTCTTTTTAAGCTGGATAAATTTCATTCCACTTTATTTGGTTTGTTCTGCCTCCCTGAATAATGTTCTATTAACTGGCCACGTTGCTTACACTAATTGCGCTTATCTTCGGTAATTTTGTTGCGTTTGTAGCATTTTTAAGTAACTTGTGGACTTTTCTTACTTATCACGGATTTGTTGCTAACCAACTTACTTCATATGGTAATTTAGCGAAGAGTAATGCCACCGTACCTGTATGCATTATTGGATTTATTTTATTTCAGCTTGTCGTTTAAAGTGAATGGATGTTGTTTGATATCCCCGGTGTGGTTGCGCTTGATGTGTATGTTGACAAGGTGCCTACCTGTCTATTACCCACTACATCGTTCATACTGGCTCCAGGAGACAGTTGGTCGTTGCTGGAGGGGACGGGGTGCACGGTTCTTGTGGCCGTGCTAGGCTCAAAGAGCGGTTCCATGCACTCAGTGTGGAGCGGACTACGGTCCAGCCACCGCCTTGTGTGCGCTTGATTCCCCAAATACAGCGTGCTTGTGTTTGCCTGTGAAGGAGTGTGGGCCGGCTCCGTTGATGAAACGTGGTTCCCATCCGCAAGCCTCCCGGTCTTATTCCTTCGGGTTTACACTGGATATGGGGTATGTGGTTGGAGCTGTGGGTGGTGCAGCACAAGCCATCCATGGTCCCTCTGTAGGCGCAGGCGTCCTGTGGCTTGCCACAGTGACAGGCAAATCCGAAACCGGATGCCGCCAACCATATATATTACGCGCTCCGCATGCGATTTTCACGAATCTGATAAATATAATAAACATTTTACACGAAAAACCAACTGAGTCGTAGGTGCCTTTACTGTACCGCATGGTAGTGACTGTTGAACTGCTTACACTGGTCAGGCGATGTCTTTCAGCGTTCGTTGCTAGTCGTCGCTGAGTGTGGTTAAGTAAAACCGATTGTTTATCGGAATAAAACGACAAGACAGAAAGAAACCAACCGAGAAAGTTGATCACGTTGGCATTGCTGTCCTCTAGGATGAAGACGCAAGATTAGCGATAGCAGTAGAGAAGACTTTATTCAACGTGCGGCAGTTGCGAAGTAAATAAAGACTCGTGGTAGCCTGATTACATTTTACTTTATTATCCCTAACCGTAGTCAGTCATTGGTATTATTATTATTATTATCATAAGGATGGAATTCATGACAGCTTAACCTACTGTGCTCGGAGCGTCGTTGAGTAATTGAACTAGATAAGCATTCTAGTGACAGATTTCACATGCGTCTGTCTTGTCAGCGAGCACAAATTAGAGAACTGCCTACTGTGACCACAATATTATTGAGCGGCAGAGTTGTGAACAACTAGAGTAGTGCAGAATCCCACTAGTAGACATATTAACCGTGAGGTTAAGCATAAGTTAGCAGGATTTTCACGTAAGACAGAAGTATAACGGTAATAAAATCAAAAACACGACTGGTGGATCCACATTTGAATGTGCAGGTCACAATGTCGCACGAAGGCACAACCGTGGCAGCTACTGTGTAAAGTATATTTTTATTTTTTATTTTACCATTATGAAAAGGGCGCAACCCCACTCACTTTCAACGTCATTGAGCATTTGTGGCAAAACCAGACTCCAATAGGCGCTTCATCCGGCTCCAGCGGTGGGTCCAAGCACTCGAGATGAAAACTAGCTGGGCATCGATCACATACAAGCCTTTCACCTTCAGTACAACCGCAGCTGTCACAATACTCATGGCAATTAGCACGCGGCTTCCGCCAGAAAGGATCATCGTGAGCGGTAGAATGACCAGAGTAAGACGATGTGAGGCCAGTTAACTGCTCCGACGAGGATGCAGAACCGTCGGTGACAGTTGTGCAAGAGTCATTGTTCTTCTTAGCGCGCCGAACCGATGGCTTAGGAACGGAGTTTAGTATAAGAAGAGAAGCTTACGATGCCAGCCAAACCTTTTTTCCCGTACGACTCGGCTGTCGGAGGGGCAAATAATGAGTTTATTTCGTTCATCAAGCTTTCCTTGTGGGGAAATGAACTGTCAGAATTGGCCATTGGAGCTGTGCAAAATGAAAACAATAGATCAAAAATTTCGGCAACAAAATAGGGTCTAGTAAGAAACGAGGATGAGTAATAATCTATAATAATGAATTGTAAAAACACCATCATTAGTAAAACCAGATGAATGGTAACCCTTATCATTCATTGTTGAAAGAAACAGAAATTTGACAGTAAAAAGAATATAAACTAAGTAACCCCGAGCGAATAAAAAGGTAGTGGGGGAAAACTATCGGAACAAATAGAATGAACAGCAGAGAAAAGAGCTGAAGTTTCGTCTAGGAAGCGAACACAGGAACGGTGGGAACCACTAGCACAGCACTCCTAAAGCAGGAAATGGTTGCATATGCTAGGGCAGAATATGACGTGACCACCATGAGCGGCAAAATGTGTCACCTTTCAATTAAATGAAATAGGTGAGCGGTTAGCCGAGTAGGGGGTGTTGATCACCGTTTAGACATAAGTAACGGAAACGACGTCACCAACCACACACGAACGCGTGATGTGAAGTATGATAAGTACATAAGACTGACTTAAAAGTAATTTATGCAGCTTTGTCAATGGTAACTGAGAATGATGCGGCCAATATGTGTCCACGGCTTGCCTGGTGGTGGTGGTGGTACGTAAGTAGCGCGTTGACACAAAAATCGCAGAAACAGGCAATGACCAACACAAAAGTGAAGTGGGGGTTGGCTGCTCTACAAGAATCTAGGTTACTTTCACCAGAGCTCACGCTCATCAAGTTAATTTTTGTTGAGGTGCATGCCTCGAGCATCCGACAAGCATCACAACGGCCGCGCGGCACTTTGTACGGTCGGTGAGCTAACAATAGGACTTGTCTTCTGCTGATCCCGGGGCTAAAACTGTGGGGTCATATGCCGCCAGAAAGTATAAACGGGATCCACTGGACCCGCAGCTGGACAATTGTACTCAGCATCCCAGCCGAATGGTGCGAAGTCAGATCCGGTTCAGTAGCGTTGCTCCTGTGTTGCGCTCAACGTAACCCTCACAGCAGCATGTCCAATGATTTCGGCAGTCGTGTCTCAGGGTAAGCGCAATGAGAACATGCTAGGAAACCTGCAGACGGTAAAACTAGTCTTAGCGCGGTTCTGGAACCATGGAAACGGTTCTCAATAAGGCAAAAAATATAAATAACACCTATTTCCAGTGCCAGTAATAGCTATCTATTCTCAGATCTGAAGCATCGTCTAAACACTAAAAGCAACCAGCGTGAATCGGAAACCGGCCTCTAAGAAAGGTCTGCTAGTACAGCTGATTCGCCCAGTTTCGGACCTGAACCACCGACGTATGGGATAAGCACGTTCTCCCAAAGTGATGCGATGCTGTGAGTTCAGAAAGGGAGAACGTCATCAGGGATAAAATGTAGAACATATGCGGAATAAAGCAGTTATTTTATGGTGCTGTAGGGAAATGTTTAGCAAATCCAGATGCCGGAACATCAGCCGAAGATAACCATTGGATCACTGGATGATAGAGAGTAAAACAAAAGTCCTTTCTCAGCTCAGTCGCTACCCTATCGTTGCAGATGTGGCTTGGGTCATTGAAAAATAAGGTTCCGCAGAGGACCATTGCAGCTGCATCAGTTATTATCATTATTATTATATTAATAGTATTATTATTAGCAACAGTCTAACGAATAGACATGGAGCCATGCAAAACCATGAAAATTATAGGTTTAATCCCCATATCAACATGGCACATTAGCAGTAGGTAGGCAACATTCAACTACTGCGCCGCCAAGAGAATGAGAATTTTTGTCATTTTCTTCACAAGCCATTTTTCAGGTGACTGGCTTGCCGAACTACCTCCTCGTGATGCCAGCTGGGTAGTTCGGGTGTACCCCGTTCAAGCAAACTATTCGGCGACAATGTTCCACCTCGGTGGGGCATTGTATTCCAGCAATTGTGCTGATTTCACGGGGAATATTGGGCCCCTGTTTGGTGATCTACCAAACAAAGACGGATGAATTGAACATGCAGTCTGCGCCTCCCAATGCGCGCGATTCCCTAAATTCGCCCCGCTACCTTGCGAGTAGGTTATTTAGCCAAAGGCTTAGGGTGGAGTCCCCTAGGTCAACTCCCTACTTCGGCATGGGCAACCGGGTAGTATCACGCCCTCTCACAAAACCATGGACTGTACTACAACGTGCTCATTAGCTACTGTTTCTGGTCCTCACGTTCACGCGACTTCATCACACGCCAAATGTTCGTCTGCTAACAATCCTCATTTTCCGTTACCCGATTCATGTGTTCAACAATCTGGCTGCGATTCCGGTTGCGCCGCGGACCAAGGAGTTCAAACTATGGCTCTCCTTCGTCCCCGATTCTCGTTCCGTCTGGCGTGCTTCAATGTGCACACTCATGCAGATGGGACAGCAAGCAGGTCTAGCGCGCACCCTAGAGTCCCTAGACATTGATGTCTGTTGTTTCTCAGAAACCCGCTTGCAAGATCCCAGCACTGTGCTGACATTGACATCCCCCACTGACCACGAAGCCAGATATCAACTGCGTCTTTCTGGAGATCCAGAAGTAGCCTCAACGGGTTTGGCTGGTGTAGGTATAGCACTAAGTGGCAAGGCCGAGGCGGCACTACTGGACTGGTTCCCGATTAACAGTCGACTATGTGCAATTCGGCTTCGCGGTTCATGTAGAATCAACAAGGGCCGCAAAGAGAGACACAACTTGTTTGTGATCTCCGTGTACGCTCCAAATGACTGCAATGGCGACTTGGTCAAGGACGAATCCTACCGAGACCTACATCAGCTACTGACTAATGCTAAAAAGTCGGGTGTCGTTGTCTTTGCTGGGGATTTAAATGCACGGGTTGGCCGCCTGTTACCATACGAACGCCACCTTGGTGGTCACCACGCGCTCGATGAGAACGGCTATGATAACTGAGAACGTCTCCTCATATTGTGCGAAGATAACCATCTGTTTCTCTCGAGCACTAACTTCAGGCGTACGAAGAAGCGTTCCACATGGCGTCCCTCTTCGCCAACATATACGCGGTGTCAAATTGATCACATTGCAATTAGCATCAGATGGCGCGGCAGCGTACTGGACTGCAGGTCCTTTTGGACCACCTTCGTTGACTCAGATCATGCACTGGTCTGCGCGAAAATCTGTATGTGTTTCGGGGGTCCCGAAACATGAAGCACCGCAAAATTTATGGGAACAGATTAACTGATTCCTCTGTCCAGACGAGCTATCAATCTTCACTGGCATTTGCACTCAATTGCAATCCACCGCAAGACAACACTGGACTTGTATACGGAAAGCGATGATCATTTCGGTACAGTCAAGATGCGGCCTAACTCGACGCCCCCTCGACGACCCCAATGGGGTGTTGAATCAACTGCACGCGCCTCATCCTCTCGTTATTGGTTGCACGCATCCGGAGACGCTGATGCAACACTCACGGGTCGAGCTGACGTAGGTATCATTCTAAGCTCCCAGGCTGAGCCATCGCCGGTTGATTGCATTCCGGTGAACAGCCGTTTATGTGCAGCCCGTTTGACATCACCTAAGGCTAATGCAAGAAGCAGCACAAGATGATGTTTGTTAGTGATCTCCGCTTATGCTCCCACCAACTACAGTTCTAATGCTTTCAAGGACACATTCTATCACCAACTTAACGCGCTACTACACAGTGATACTAGTTCAGATATTATAGTAATTGCACGGGATAGGAACGCACAAGTAGCGCGTCTGAGCTTTTCTGAAGCTCAGCTAGATGGTAAGTAGGGGCTTAACTCCGAAAGGACGGACAACGGCGAGTGTCCTTTGCAACTGTGTGCGGAGAACAAGCTGTTTCTTAGTAACACTGCTTTTAGACACAGTGGACGCCGAAGTGACACTTGGCATCCTCCTGTCGCTGGCCAGTGATAGACCCACATTCATCACATAGCCGTAACCTACAGGTGGCGTGGTTCCATCTTCGATTGCCACTCGTACTGGAGTACTTGCGTCGACTCTAATCATGCCTTGGTACGCTGTCGTTTCTCCATGAACTTTACCGGAAGGCGTACCAAGCGTCGCCTCTGATTGGCAACTGAGAAATCGCCTCAGCAATCATACAGGTAAACCTATCAAGACGCACTGCATATCGAACTTTTGCTGTCTTGCTCTAATGACACTGAGCTTCAGTGGAATAGGATCTCAGCCGCCATGCACGACGCAAGAACATCTACCTGTAGCACTATCGATTGCCATCGTAACAATCGCTAAATAAATAGAAGAAACCACCCGGCTGGCTCTGAGCACAATGTGACCAGGCGGGCTAGTAGGCACGAACTAAAGCGGAGCCCACGTGCTGAGAAGGAAACCTGGTGGACCAGCAGAGTTCAAGAAATGGAGGAGGCAGGAGCAGTAGGCAAGTACCGCAAGCTCTTCCAGCTGATCCGCAGCACTGGACCTAGAAAACCAGGCGTCAGTGACCCAATCAGAGACAGCGCGGGTGCGCTGATACACAATAAGGAGCAATGTATAGCTCGTTGGGCGGAGCAATTTCAAGAGCAGTTCAGCTGACCCCCTGCTCCCGGACCGCTTTCTACTCAGGTGACGCAGGAACAGCCATGGACGGTCAGTTTAAAGCCTCCGTCAGAGGCCGAGGTCCGAAACGCCATCACAGCCCTCAATCGTTTTCGTGCCGCTGGCACGAATTCCCTCCCACCTGCACTATTTAAGGATGGAGGTGAAATGCTACAAAGCATTGACCTCCCCGTTCGACCGTAGCTAGAAGGAAGTGTCCCGGCTAATCGGAGCGAATCGATTATAGTGAAAATATACAAGAGGGTTAGTCACACAGACTTTTCGAATCACAGGGGTATTAGCCCAACACCAGTTGTCACAAAATTACTGGCCTCGATTCTCGTTCGTCGCATCACTGCGGAGCGGTAATTTCGGAGTAGGGAAGAGCAGGTAGGTTTCCGCCCAGGACGTCGCTGTATCTTCAAGCTGCGGTAGACGCCAGAACATCGCTATGCATAACGCAGACCGACAGTAGATGCATTTCTCGATCTCAAGAGTGCGTTCCATACAGCCGATGGATGCATTCTGTTCCAAATACTTTCGCGGAAACGTGTAACCACG